AGATTTCGACTGGAGGTGATTATGACCCTCAGTTTCGCCTGGTCGATACTGATCGTCTTGTGTAGCGAGGAGGGTATCCATCTACCCATACCTCTTGGGTTCCTGGCTGGCCGAAGCATTGCTTCTATCAAACAGGCCTCCGTTCAAGAAGCTGCTGTCGAGGCTGAAGAAGAAGAGGATTGGCAAGAGGAAGTGCAAGCCGGTGGCGATCCTGATGAAGAGGATGCTGAGGAGGAGGAGGGGGAGGAGGGGGAGGAAGAGGAAGAGGAAGCTACAGAGGAGGAGGCCGACGGGGATGGTGACGAGGGAGTGGGCGAAACGGAAGTTCCGGTGCAGCTTCCTCAACAAGAGAAGGAGAGCGATCCCACGGAGATCAACACTGTCTTCTTGGGCCTAAAAGTCTACACCAACAAGGAGGCTCCAGTCACTATCGCTGCTCAGCTCATGCGCGCTTGATGATGTCGAGCAATCTGGGGAGACCAACTTCGCGATTAAATGACAAATTCTTGTACACTTTGACCTATCGACCCCGAACAGTTTTTATCTCAGAGTTCAGTAGTTGTATGTATCGGATAGGATAGTAAGATTAGTAACGTGCGGACATCGAAACGATGTGTAGATTCGGAATTGAAACAACACACCATGCTTTGGTGTTCATGCTATCCTAGCAGCAGGCTAAAATATACCCCGACAACTTCGATCCCTTCTTTTCCCCCCATGCGAGGTTAATTACCAGTTGAGGCCCAAAATGTTTCTCTTTTTCGTGCTATAGTGAAGTTCGAGAATCGAGCCAATGCAGGACGGATTTATGCTTCGGGCCTGTTCGGTAAAAAGTTGCTGGTAAAAGACATGATAATCTTCCTCATATGGAAGGAGAAGTCGCAAAAATCATCTTCGACGAGCCACAAAACACGCCAAAATATGGCGGTCCGCGCCGGACAAAATGTTTTGTTTTCGTTTTCGGTTGACAATCTCATTCTCGCTCTATTTAGGTGTGATTTCGCATTAAATTTCTTTGGATTCAATTCTCGCAGGTATGGTCGTAATGATTACATGATACTACTGAATTGATTCGGCAATGTACACAGTACAGAACCCTGAATTGATCGGCTTATCCCGCCGCCCCGCCGCCTCCCCGACGAAATTGCCTCCCCCTATATAATTAGAGCGCCTGAGTCTTTACCAGACAACGGTCAACATTGTGACTTCGCACTACCACTGCCCGGGAGTCCACAGTACCTGAGCGATGGCTGAAATCCATGGGTGAAACTTGAAAAACCGTTGTCTACATGCCAGGTTAGCTGCCACTAGAGCCGCGAGCGGCAGAGCCTCAGAGGTGGATTCAGTGCTTGGATAAGAAACAAAACAAATAACTCTTTTTTGTGCTAAAGACGTACGGACACTGTACAGATACTC